GCCGGGTATTTCTTGTGTGTGTGTGTGCATCATTTGATACTGTCAGCAATAAATTGTTATGTTACCTCACACCATCACATTGCCATAAATACGAGACACAAATATACTGTACCATGTGGCATGCTTATGATTCTGACTCTGATTCAAACGACTGGCAGTCCCTTCCACACTTACAGTTACTGTAAGCTTTGTGCCTCATTGCTAATGTACATGTTGCCACTTCATAAAAATTTGACATACTTTTGAAAGGTGTGTGGCGGCACTAATGACAAGAGGTGGCACCGGCACTAAGATCAAACATACACGCCCCCACACACACACACAGAAATGAACCCAACCTCTGCTCCTATTTGGAGCAGAAGAAGTCATCCCCATCGAGGACAGCCAAGATGGAATCTTACATGATGTACTGTGGGTGTTGGGATTATTTTGTTCACAATTTGAAACACAGGCTGATCTATAACTCTCTCCAAAAAGGGCAGGTGGTGAGTGGCTGAGGTCATCACACAGCAGGTTATAAACAAACGCCCCTGGATACAAACGCACCACACACAACCACACACACACACACACACACACTGCACACACACATAGCACACACAGTTTCTCTGTTCTCTCGCCAAATGATAGCATCCTTATCTCATCTCTCACATCCAAACACACAGTTTCTCCGATTCTCTTTTCTTCTGCCATTTATGTGAACACACACACACACACACAAACTCACACACACACACACACACACACACACACACACACACGCACAGACATTCAGGAGAGATGATAGTGTGAGGGAGATGGCGGGATGCTATATCAGTGGTGGGACGGGTATATATTCCTGGCTGGTGCTGATAAGCCAACTGATGCCTTGCCTTATTTAGTCAGTACTCATTGCTGACACGCTAGCAGAGTAGCACACACCGCATGCACTATATGTATGTGTTTGTCTTGTGCGTGTGTGAGGTGTTCCTGTGTGGAGAGAGGTGAGTTCTGATTAAATGAATGCATATAGATAGTCTCTGTGTGTGTGTGTGTGTGTGTGTGTGAGTGTTTGTAAGAGCGGGTGTGTGAGAGAGAGAGAGAGAGAAAGAGAAACAGAGTGGATGGATACACATGCGTAATGTTTTACTACTGATTAAAATGGCAATTGCAATATAATGTATTAGAAGTTTGAAATCGTTTTTTGGTACGGTCATCTCCTGGACACATATCAAAATTCAGTCAGGTGTGCAAAAGTTATACTTATTTTGGATCGCCACCAAAATCTATCCAATTTCTTAACGAAACGAAATCTATTTTCATGTGGGACTTAAGGACACGCAAAACAAAGCCAAAAACAGCCTCGCTTGCATGATGGTTAACGCTTAACACATATCATTAGTCTCAACTTTTTGCTGATTGCAGTGAAGAAAAAATAAGCATCATATAAATATCTTTCCTACTCCAGTGGACCTGCATATTTGGTGTTGGTTAACCTTCCACTAGAGCGTGCAGAGCAAATAGTGCTATCAAATGGACACACACCCTTGGCCTCTACGCACGTACTGGCTGACACTCTGTTTGTTTTGGCTTTTCTTTTAGCAGTCTTAGCATTGGAAAGGCAGTGTGCTTTATCAACCGAAACTACGAAAAAGAAGCAGAGAGAAGAAGAAAGAAGCTGTGTAGAACTGTAAACCAATATGCAACTCTGCAGCTTTGGTAACGTCATTTTAACACTACACACACACACACACACACACACACACACACACACACACACACACA